TAGCTATGCCAAGAGCCAGGATTAGGAACTAATGAGCTGAGCACGTTGTGCAGAGCTGGTTCTAACAGAGGTCATGCTATGAAATACGAGGCTGCTAAATGCCACACATGGGTTGTGAATGATCCCCTAAAATGCTGTTTTTAGCAGATGAAGACATGGGGACAGATCCCTGTACCGCGACCATCCCAAACTCGCACCAACACCATTTGAGATTCAGCTGCTTTCAGATGCTACCTGCAACTGCAGCTCCTGTCCCTTCCCAGCCATGCCTTTCTAAACACAAAGAGCGTCCAGAGGATTTCAGCCTCAACATCTTATTTCAAGCTGGTGTACAAAGTTAAATGCAAATCAGGTCTCCCGGGAGGATGTAGGCTCACACATGGACCTTGACTGCTGGGGACAAAGCACAAGAAGAATGACTGTTCCAGGCATTTCAAGAAGCACCACGCAACAGAGGGCCGTGCTCACGTTCAGTGCAGTGACAGAGCAGACAAAGGGCTCCCGAGCCCCAAGAGGTGCAAGCTGGAGCTTTGCTCAAGCATTGCCCTGGAATTGCCCCTGCAGTTGGGAACTTGGGTGGCAGAGGGTAATGAGAGCCAGGCATGCGACCAGCCACACTGTCACCCTAGTGCCCCATTTTTGGGTACTGCCCCCACCTTTACACCTCTGTGTACTGAAAGAATCTCAGTGAAAGAGGGGCAATACCAGGCTGAGTAACTTTCCCAGCTTCCTGAGCAGAACTGGGAGCACAGCCAGGAAGGGGAAGCAAATATCCCAGGCTCTGGTAGCTTCCCATCCCGCTGGACCACTTTTCTAGTGCTCCAAGCGGTGGTGGGTCTCAGAAGGACAAGGGCATAAATGTGACACCCTGCAAGAAGGATCCTGAACGTCCTCTCTTGGGAGCGTGATCAGAGAGCCCCTGAGCTTTGAGTATATATTCTGGTGGAACGTGCTGTTGCAGGCACAAAACGCCTCTCCAGATTAGACTGATGTAGTCAGAGTGACGAGGAGAGAGAATCTGCAGAGGGAGAAGGAGAGTGAGGGGAGGGTTATTCACTGTCAAAGCTTCCTGCTTCAACATTTTGCGGAATGAAATAACATGATACTTTCAGGGAACCTTTTCATTTCAGAGGTTTTAAAGTTTTGTGTCCAAGTACAGAATAATGAAGACATCAGAAATGCAAATGAAATGTTTTGAGCAACACAAAGAGATTTTGGCGGTGGCGAAGGAGGTGGGAGGAAGAGAATTTTCTCTTAGAGAACTGCAAAATTATGGGGTTTGTTCCAATGCAGGATGGAGCCTGAAACCCTGAAACCCTTCATAAAGCAGAATTCCTGCTCTCAGCACAGTTTTCCCTCTGAGGGCTGCTGATGCTGCTTTTTGGACCAAAACTGCCATGTTTCCATCATACTGTCCATGCTATGGAATAGACCCAAGAAGAAAAATAAATACTGGCAACCCTGGGGGGAAGGGGAGAGGGGAGATGGGACATGACAGTCTCCTTAGAGCCCAGAGGGGAAAACAGACCAACGGACCTAGGTTAGCTGGCAATGAATGAATTAAACTCTATTTTTATTTTCTAGCTCACGGTGAGCCTGATGGAAGAAATGACAGTTCTCATCATACCTTGCTCCCCACTTCCATGCTCAGTTTTATGAGCCGCTTCATCACAGATGGGTTGCCCCAATAGCAGACATTCAACCATGGTTACAGCCCATCCCATGGGCATGTGGCACATGCACAGGGAACCTTACAGCTAGAAAATATCAGCGAGCAAATGCCAGGTCATTTCAGGGGCAGCTGCCCAGGGAGTGCAGGCCGTGGGTGCAGGGGATGTAGATAAATGGATTTTTTTCAGTGCAATCTTAACAGCTTCCAATCTTCCTTATATGTAACATTAGAGATATGGGCTGAAACCCTAAAGCATCCGGTACAGTTTGAATCGCTTTCAGCAAAGCCCACCTTGAACTATAAGTGTTTGGCTCTTTGTGAATAACCTCAAGCTTGTGCCATTCCTTTTTGCCCTAGGAAAGCTGTCAAAGCTCTGCAGGCAGGACTGGCTTTGACAAAGCGCTGCCGGCTCTGGAGGTCAGCACCAGGCAAAGATGGAGACAGAACAGGATTGGCCCCAAGGCCAGCATCTTCAGCTGGATCGATGGTCATGTGATGGTCTAAAGCTCAACCTTGAGAGAGGTTAAAGCCCCTTTGGACCCTTCTGGTATTTAGGTAGACTTCTAATCCCGTTTTGACTAACGTCAGTGTTGCTTGGTCTCTCTAGCCTGAAGAAGTCACAGCCTAAGGCATCAGAGCTGCATCAATCAGATAAGGGTTGCTTATATTTTTGGATGTTTCTCTGGCATCTATCAACACAGTATCCATAGTTATGTACTTGTCCTGTGGGCCAAGAAAAGTCTCATTGTAGAAGACCTCCGCAATGCCACAGCTCTGGCTGAGACCAAACAGAGGACATGAATCATCTTCAGCACATCGCAGGAGTGGGAGGGGAGAGGGCTGGAGAGTGCCCTTTATCATGCAGAGCAGCTTTCCACAAGTTTCCCCTGCAGTGTATGCCCTTTCCTAATTCTCTGCTGAAGCCCAGGTCACCACTCTCTTGTAGCATCCCACCACAAGAGCAAAGCTGAAGCTTTTTTATCAAGCAGAAGACTGAAGACTAATTTTAACTGCAAAGTGGATTTTTAGTTGCAAGCTGCTGGGTTTTTTTTAAAGGATTTTGAAAAATAAAGAACTCTTGAGTTTTGGTGAAGTACCCATTTTGCCAATATTTTTATTGGCTCAAGGTCCGTTAAATTTTTCAGTTTCAATGAATTCAGACTGTTTTGATTTAACCGCTTTAAGAATATGTGATTCCGACAAGAAAAACCTACATTTTTTCTTTCCTCCCCAGGCAGAGCAGAACTTCCTCGGAGACTCTGCAGCTGATGAAATGGGACAGAGACATGGGGAGACACGCACTGAAGGGTGAGGCTGTGCCTTGCATCAGCCCTTGGGACTGTGCAGTCAGTCTGCCGGCCTCATGCCCTGGGGCTTCACCAGGCAGTGACCCCCAGCGGCACATCCCCTCTGCCAGAGCAGACCGCAAAGGTGCAGATTAACAAAAGAATATGTTTTTCCTACCCAATACCCTGCAGAGACCAAAGGTACACTTTCAAAAAGCAGCTAGACAAATGCTGCGTACTGAGACCTGAGGGTGTACGCCGCAGGGAAGGGATGGCAGGGATGGCCGTCCCCGAGCTCGCCCTGTCCCACGGCTCTTCCCCAGATATCTGCTACCAGCTGCCGGCGCTGAGCCGAGCAGATTTTTCTCTGACTCAGTTTGGCTGTCCTAACGTGCTTTGAGTAACTATATCCTCCTCGTAAAAACTGCACAATTTGAGAGGACAGAGAACAACATCAAGAAAACATTCAGCCAAAAGAAAAAAGATGACAAATATAAAGTGTAGGTGTTGGGGTCTAATGAGAGCAGTCTAGAGCTCACCGTTTCCTCACAGCCCAGCCAGGGCTCTGCCACTGGTACCCACAGCCCAGTTCACTGCTGCAGCGTCCCTGGCCAGGAACCCAGCCCACACAGGGATCCGGCCAGGGGTCCAGCTCCACCACAGCCAGCAGGTCTGGCTTTCCCCTCTCGCTGTTTCTGACAAAAAAGAATACCTTTTTTTCCCCCTCCCTAAGGAAATGGGCATCTCTCAAACAAGCAGGCACAATAAGGAAACTAGAAGTTACATACCCCACCATCACCAGAACAGCATCACCACTTCAGCAAACCCACCTGAATAACCTGGGCTTTTGCATTCAGTCAGTAAATGAGGACGGTAACAACCTGCTGCAACGCTTAGCACTGCTGAAATATGTTTGGGAACTTGGTGAAAGGCAACAGGAGAAGACAAAGTACCATTGCTAATAAATGGCCAGGAGGCCAGGGTGCTGATACGAAAAAAAATAACTACCAAAAACGTTCTTACGAAGCATGAAGGGCCACAGGGAGATGCTTTGGCTCTGGGGTGATGGCGTACCTCCACAGGCATATATTAAAGAAACAGCAGTCAGTGGAAGATCAGAAAGGCAATCCCACATGCACGGCCCCTTGCAGGAACCAATAGCAAAGATGAACCTCTCACTTTCGCCAACATGATTTCACCCTCCTCAAAAGGCCGTGGGGCAGGCATCCATATGTGCCCCACCCTTATTACACACACACATACACAAACAATTAACTTGATCTAGAAACAGCAGAAGGGAAGAACGTGCAGCTCTGCCATTGCATTCCAGCAAGGGATTGTTATTTCTCAGCTCCCTGGAAGGGAACCATTCCTCCCTACTCCGTAAGCGCAGAAAACCAGAGCAGCCAAGGCAGGTCCCACTGCCTTTTTGCAGAACTTCCTATGGCTTCCCTTGGAGCTGGATTGGGCTTCCCTTCTTCCCTCCCAAGAGCTGCGAGCCTGATTGCCAAACAACACAGCAGGTTTCAAAACCCATTCCTTTGGGGAGCATCGTACTCGGTCGGTCTGACATTCTTTCTCCTGCTTGGGTAGCAGATTTTAACTGGAGAGCTCCCAAGCAGAGAATCAAGGACAGCCAATACCATGAATCTTACTTGGCAAATGGGGAAACTGAGTCATGGGATTTTTTTTCTTAAAGCTTGCAACAAACGTGCCTGAGATCACAGAACAGAAGCAAATCCGAATCCAGCTTGTGATCTACTGCAGCACACTGTTAGGTCCCAGGACATGTCACTATTGCTGTCTCTACAATTTCCCATGCTTACATCTTTCTCCCTTTCTTCCACCATCTATTCCCACTATTTAATTCCTTTTATCTTTCCCTCATGAACTGCCTTCCCCTTTTTTTGCATCCCTTCTTCTCCCATATCTGAGACAGCAGCAGTTTCTGGACAGGTGTCCACTACCACCTAAACCAGCCACTTTGGATAGCCATAACCAGCACATTTCACCAAAAGTAAAAAATGTATTTAGGGACCTACCAGTCCACCTGGACTTCTATATCTCTTGTCTCTACCTTGGAGGGTGCACCTCCATCGCTGTCCTTACTGCTGCTCTTCAGGAGATCCAAGACAGGCTCAATTTCTTTGAGCAGTTCATTATCTTCCACACCACCGTTGAAGCAAGGGCGACCGCAAGCACTGTCCTTCCCTTTCCCAGTGTCCTGCCCTTTCTTGTCAGTAACAACACCGTTAACATGGACCAATGGCTCCACTTCCCGCCTGATCTCTCTGGCCCACAGAGAGCCCATGGTGTGGTCGGCTCCTGACAGTGGCTGCTCTTTGCTGTGCAGGCTAGGGTTGGACAAGTCAACTGCCTTTGGAGTCGGGCACAAGGGTCTGGTTACACGGATGGTTTTTGGTGTCCCATCACCAGCAAAAGTGGTCTCCAGATGAGTGGTGAAGCCCTCGGGGCCCCGCAGGATGAGGACCACGTAGGTCTCGGAGGCGATACTTCTCAGTATCTCCAGTGCAGTCTCATAGCTCATGTCCACCAAGGGTCTGCCATTGACAGCTAAAATGATGTCCCCAGCCTGGATGAGGCCACTCTGCTCTGCAGCTCCTCCCCGGATCAGGTCTGAAATGATGACAGGCGGCTTGTTGACACGCTCCTTCACCAGGAAGCCGAGGCCTCCGACCTTGCGCTTGAACAGCCTCACTGAGATGACGTTGGGCTGTATCTGCTGCACACTGAACACATTCTCTTCCATCGCAGCCCCCAGTCTTCTAGCCTGCAGACCAGGACCTCAAGACCTGTTGAGCACAGACAAACTCAGTGCCCAGAGCTCAGCAGCTGAGAAGCTTATCCACTCAAGGACCGGCTGGGCCGGGGAAGGAGAAATTCGCCTCACTGCAAAACTCTGGCCTTTGGGTCCAGGCTAGCGTTTTGCAGCATACTCGTTCCTGCTGCTTTCTCCCAACGCAGACAGCCCAGGGAAAGCGAGAGCGTGTTGCTAGCGAGAAGTAAGCCTAGAGGCAGCATGTACAGGTCTGGGCATCACTCGGCTGAGCAGGGGCTGGAGGGGACAACATGACAGCTTCAAGTCAAGCTCTGATCCTGCGCTGGGCAGAGGGGTGGAGGCAGTCTGCTCGCTTCATGGACATCTCTGCAGACTACTTCTCAGGCTGCAAATGGACCATGAGCTTTATCTAGAAAGGAGGAAAAAACAACAAAAGGAAAAGAAAGAAGTGACATTGGGTGGGTGTAAGTACGGGCTCCACACAGGGCTCTACTTGCCGCAGACACCCACATGCATCAGCCAGTCCACACAGATGTCATCCCCCAGGCTGCATTTCAAAGATAGGCTGCAGCCTCAGATTGCTCTGAGCTCTGTTTCCTCTGCTCCCCCTGCAAAAATCTCCACCATCTGTTCATCAGGGGAAGTTAAAGCATTGCAGAGCTGGGAAATCCCGGGAAGGGGCTGCTGGACAGCCTTGCTCTGACCCTTCCCTCTTTGCCATTTGGTCACAAGCAAAAAAACGCATGAGCAAATTGTGCAAATTGGTGGAGCTGCATGGAGCTCAGCAATGATTTCTGCCGTGTGAGGATCTTGTCTCCCCGCATTTGTCAGAGTATCTTCAAGAAATTGCCCCTTGGGTAGAGATGGATCGGGATGACCAGATAGGGGCCTGGCATCCCTGCTCAGGATGAAATCTGTTTCACACGCACCTTCACACAGAGTCCCTTTCAGTGGGTCAGGAGAAAGAGTGACAGCCACAAGCAAAACAAGGTGACAGAAGAGGACAGTGAGATCTCCTTATCCCAAGTTATATCAAATTACTTACAATGCCATGCTTTTAAGCCTGGCTAAAGGGATCACAACCTCAGCCTGACTCAGTTCCTCTTCTCCCTCTTCTCTTCAGCCAAGAAAGCTCTGGTGTAAGGATAAAGGACGCAAAGCTTGAACTCTCATGTGCCCAACCCGGACAGCCAATTCTTAAGGCATTTCCCAAAAACCTACTTCAACTGATGGAAAGCCATGTGGGACAGACCATGCAGTGAGTTTATCCAGCTCCCAGAGGACCCGATGCATCCACGCATGACTTTCTACAGCACTCGCGTGGCTTAGGGAACCATGTCTCATTGACTTCTGATGGGCTCTAGTTCTTACATGCCTACACTTGTGTCAGATAACTTCAGCTCCCAAATCCTCTCCACGTTCCCCTCTCATTTCTTAGACGCTTTGGAAAACATTTCTTTCTGGGATCACACCCTGGCATTTACCAGCGAGCTGAAATCTAATTCTTTTTCCTTTATTAAATCCAACTTTCAGAGAAATAACCGAAGGCAGGATCAGTTACCTAACATGGCTAGCTCTCTGTGCTTCATGAGGTCTGCAGATTGGAGGTATTGACATGCAAAAGAAAACAATGTCCTGTCCCCGGGAGCCAGCATGCTCAGGGCAGTGTTTGTGCCTTGAGATGCCTCATACTGAGCACCCTTCTCCCATGCACCCGCGAAGAACTGATTCCTGCTAGCTATGGGAGCTCTGAAGCTGTGAGCAGAGCCAGGTGCACCCTCCAGCCTCCACAGGGTGGGCACAGCGGGGCCAGCAGGCAGGAGACAGCCCTCATGGGAGCAGGACGGGGGGAAAGGCAGGGATCTGAGGGGCAGAGAGGTTTGTGGCGCCAGGCCCAGCATCAACTCACTTGGACATCTTAATCCTCATGTGACAAGGGTTGCCGACCCCACACGGGCTCGTTACAAGAAAGTAGAGAACAAAGCAACAATGGCATTAAAGACTGATAACCTGAGATGAAGGATTTAACCCCTGTTGCTCTTCTCATGCCACCAGTCAGCACTGCAGAGCAGCAGAAGCATGCAGAGGAATGAATGATTTATCTACCTAAGTCACCCCACCTAGGCACTGCGGGCCCCCCCTTCCCTCCCCTGCCCTGCAGGAGGTGGGGGTGGCTGTCCCCTCTGCCAGGACACACTGCCACGGGCAGGAGGCTGGAGCGCCGCAGGGGACAGCAGCACTGGGGGCACTGTAGGACAGACCTGCTCTCTGGGGACGTTTGCCAGCCGTTCCTCAGGCTGGAAAGCAGCAAGTGGTGTTTGGCCAAGTTTTGCGTTATGCCCCCTGGGCTTCTGCCAGCCTTTCCTGGGTGTTTTCGGTTAGGAAAGGGTCAGTCCATTGCTCCGATAAAACTGTTTGAGAAGGGAAGTGGGAGAAACCTCCTCCAGTAGTGACCAGAGCCATGGATGCCAGGAGATTAATTTGAGAACTAATTTACCTTGGGGGTCCCCAGCCAGAACCCACTTTCACCAGTGTTGCTGTAAGTGGTTGATTCAGCAGCATAAGCAGGACAAATTTTCCCTCTCTTTTATGGGCAAGAGCCCTTGTGCTCTTCAGCAGCAGTGCCAAAAAATGGGACCGACTTCCCTTTCCCTGCATGGGATCTTTCTTTTCATGCTCTGCCTCCTGGAGGAGAAGGCAGCCTGCCAGCACGGCCAAGAGCAGAGCATGGGTCCCTGCATCCCCCATCCCTTTCTGTTGCTCCCACTAAAGACAAGACAACTTTGACCTGACCCCGTCACCGGTTCCTTATGCAAACGAGGTCACCGTAACCCTGCCGTCTGGCACTGATTCATGCAGGATTCATTTTGAATGTATTAGCTGACGCCGTAAGTATAAACAAGGCTTTGAAATCACTTTAACTACCATGTGAGTGTGGGACTGTCAGCCCCGCTGTCAAGGGGAGAACCCTGTTATTTGCTCGGGATTAGTCATCGGCTACGTGGTGTTCATAAACTCCTCGCAGTCAGCAAATTGCGCGTTCGCAACACGCCTGCTGCAGCGGGGCCAGGGTCGTTCCTTGGGATGGTGAAGCATAAGCTCCTCCTTACCATGTCCACACTAACATACAGCGCCTTGCACATTGCTATGCTCCCTGCCACATGGGGGTGGCAGATACAGAAAAGCCCAGCTCCCGAGGGCCCTGCTTAGTATCAAGTTAGAGGAATTAAGCACAGTGAAGCCTGTAGGATCAAGAGCCAAGTTCCACCCAGGCAGCAACCTGGACCCTGAGGGTCTGCGGGAGACCCTCTGAGCCAGACACGGCTGCAGGGCAGACACTCATGACTCCTTTCAGCCCCAAACTATAGCCCTTTCACAGGTGCCCCAGCTCCCTCCAAGTCATCGTAGGTCTTACAACTCTGGTGCACAGATCTGCAAAGCCTGCATGAAGCCCCCCAGCTCCCTCCAAGTCATCGTAGGTCTTACAACTCTGGTGCACAGATCTGCAAAGCCTGCATGAAGCCAGGGATGCCAGTCCTCCTGGGAGGTCCCCCAGCAGCCACATCTCTACCCTTCCAGGTTCCTCCTAAAGCAGCCTTGGAGACTCAAACACTTACTGCAGCGCTTCCACGGGAGCAGGGGGACACCGAGGTCTGGGAAGCCCGAGCTGGGTTATCCCAGGCTGCTCTCCTTCCCCAGCAAGTTTTGTCCGAGAAAAATATTCTGCCACCATGTTCTTACTGACCAGTTAAAACACCCTGAAACATTTAAACACCCTCGTTCTTCTCCCACGAGACCAATTTCAGTTCTTTCTTCCAGAAAGCTTATGAAGTTACATATATGTAGTCGATCCTCCCCTCTCTGCACGGACACCCGTGCCAGCAGAGCTCCATAAGGCCCCAGCGCATGCTGCCACAAGGCCCCGCTCCCCCAGGAGACTCAGACAGCCGGGAGGAATGACCCTCGAGGGGCCACCGCAGCCTGTCCTTGATATCCTCAGCTCTGTGAGCCAGCTTGGCTCCTCACTCCCCCTTCTCCCCCCTTTCTACGGGGGAATGGCTCCATAGGCTTCAGTGCAACAGCCTCTGGTTTACTGCAGCTGTGCAGGAGCTCCGAGCAGAGCACCTGCACTCCCGAAATGCTCTTCGTGTCAAGCCAGCCTTCCTCCTAATGGGGCTGCAGGTTTCACAGCACGGTAGCAGGAGGTGAAAGGCAGGAAAGCAAGCCACCTACTCAGCGCCTGGGGAACGAGAGCGAGGGGAAAAGTCACCAAGCTGGGAATTTGGTTGTCAACACATAGATGTCATAATGTTTTTCTAGACACATAAGAACCTATTAGAGGCCATCATATGTCAACTAACTGAAGCATTTTTGCAGGGAGAATCAGGTAGGACGAGGAAATGCCGATCTCCCAGCAGAGCAAAGGCTAACAAACCTTTCCAGAGATCTCTGCCAGCACAGATTGCTCCGAGCACCAGTTACAGCTCCAGTACACAGTTTGCAAAATCTCAGCGCATCGTAGCATTGCTGGATGCACTGCATTTGCCACCCAGAAAACCACTACAATCTGCTCATTACTTACAAGTACGGAGAGAATATTAGATTATAAAAGATAACTAACTGTCCAGGTAAGAATTTCTCCAAGGTCAGGATTAGCACCAGCATGTCCCACGAAGGCAAGAGGGTACCTCACTCCCAGCCCCCAGGGACAATCTGTCTCTGAACCCTGGACTCTGCTGCTTTTTTAGAGGAAGATCTGGGCAAGCAATTTCCAGCTACAAAAATCTCACGCAAACTCTGTGATGCCCTTTATCTCCCTACTAGACTCAGGGCAGAAAATGCCATCTGTCTGCTTGATTGTGAGATTTCATAAAAGGTTTGTTAAAAGGGTTTGCAATGCCAAGAGCTAGCAAAGCAGTGCATAGGCATTTGAGGGGAAATCTGAGTGAAGATGTGAGGGACAGGCAGAACAAAAGGGCCTGAAAGACAGTCAGAGACCCCTGGGAGCGCAGGGAGGACTTCCCAGGATACCCATGGACACTTGCATGTCAGAGCTTCCCACACAGCCCGCTCTGGAGGTGTCCCAGGACAGCCGCAGATTTATTCTCATTGATGGAGAGGCACGTTTCAGATCAAACCTGAAACATTTTACTCCGTGCAGACAACAGGGAGACACACCGTCTGGCTGTAAGCGGATGGCTGAGCTGTGCTCGGCTCTGCTGAGTTCAGTTCTCTTTAAAAGGATCATTAACCATCTGATTTATGTGTCCAAGAGCAGCGGTACGTTTGCCAGGTAGTACATTTACAGCTACTGGAGGGGCCACATCTCACTCCTTAAATTCAGCGTGAGCCACGCAGCGAGCAGTGTTTGACCATGGGTGAGTGCTACTCACGTGGAAACGCTTCTCA